CTGGGGGCACAGAGGCCAGAAAATTTAAATTTGGAGAAGATGTAACACCATAAGTTGTTCAGATGTGGAAGAGCTCAGGACTTAAAATAAGTAGGAAGAAGTTGGACCTTCTTAATATAACCTTCATTGCTCTGCCCAGCCTACTACCAGCTATTGCTTCACAAAAACCTAAATGCAGGCAAGACTCAAAAATGTGCATGTGAATCAATGTCTTGATAAGGAATGCAACACCACTACCACAAAGACTGCTGGATGGCACCCAGACTTAACAGATCTGTCTACCTCTTTATTGTCTCCAATTCATCTTTAAATAGACATAACTCCATCAATTAGGCTTCGCATATTCAAGAGATATAAGCCACAACATCAAAACAAAAAAGGTCCTGAGAGAACGAAATTTTGATTTGTCAGTTATATTCAACTACAAAGGCTTATGACGTTTAAGCCCTCTGTTCTGAAGTTTCAGGAACGGTTCACGGAAATCTACTGCAATCTCCACATCAGTGGTCTTCAGGGCTAAAATAACTTGATGGATTTTACAGTGGTTATCTTCAAGGACAACAGCTAAAACTTTTTTTTCCTTCCTCTACCCTAAACAGGGATTAATTCTTCGTGATTCCTATCTCTGTGTCCGCTTGACTTTTTCCTCTATTTTAGATTTCTAATTTACGCATGATATACACAAGTTGCCTGTGTTCAAGAAGCACTTGAACAATGTTCTGATATGTATGGTTTTAATTTTTAGGCTGTCCTGTGTGGAGTCAGGAGTTGGACTCTATGATCCTTGTGGGTCCCTTCCAGCTCAAGGGGTTTAAATTATTTGTGTGGGAAGAATATACAGACAATTTAGTGTCGCATTAGTCTTGGAAGAGTTCAAATTTCAAACTATCTCATTATTATTGAATTGATAAGCTCTTACAATTAAGTTTTTTCTCATTTGGAATGATGTTCATGAAACAACAGCCAGTGTTTCAAAATGTCAAGTACTTCATCTTGCATAGAACTGACAGTAAAGGTGGACTAACCATTCAGTTTTTTCCTCATACTTTTAACTTAGTGAATTTGTTCTTATGTTTTTTCTATGTAATAAAATCCATGACTACCAACGACTCTGTAAACTCAGAAATATATAGTGTTATTTCTTATTTTCCCATTATTAATATGCATATATCTCATTTATATGCATCTGTCTCAAAACATACTCTTCATCTGAGACCTACTTTACTCTATGACCCAATACTATACCTACTATTTTAGAACACACCACTAGGCAGTAGGGTAGCAAAGATGATAGCATATTAGGTATCAGATTACAAAGAGTTTCCTGTTATCCTAAAGTAACACAAAAATAAAGGCACACACCCACCCATGTTTCTGTCAGTGGATCTTTAGCATTATCCACAGAATAAAGGATAGCCACTGTCCTATATTCTTAAAATAGCTTGCACACAATCTAGGGTAAGATTACTTTTAGCAACAATCATCCCATTCACAAATAAGAAGTCACTGAACTTTTCTCCTGAAGCACAGTTACAGAGTTACAATTACCCAGTAAATAGTCTAATCCATCCCAAGCCAGAGAACAGCAACAAGCCTAAATGGTCCCTTAAAATAAGAATGTGTAACATCTGCTAGGGTTTGCAAAATCATATGGTGAGGGGAGGAAAAAAATGCTAGTTTGGGAATCAGTCAATCAAAAAGTTAATTTAAATACAGGTTGGGAACAAATGTATGCCTGATGAATGCGACAGATTTCAAATATATGCATAATAAAATTATGAAGTCAATCGTGTCATTGTGTCACGTCACTGGAAACTGCAGAATGCGTTTATTAAATACTACTTCCTCTGAGAAACAGGGTAATTCCATATAGAAATTATTTTTCAATGAGAGCTAAAAGAAAAGTAGATAGTGCCTGTGTCCCTTCATTTAAATCACAAAACAGCCCTACCTGGAGCTGTAGGGTTATGAATACAGCACAGCTCTATTTCTCGTCTAAACAAAAGGCAGCTTCAGAACATTACATTTAACATGTCACACATGAGTATTTCAAATTCATGTGAATACTAATGCCTACCTAAAGCAGAAGCAGCTGCAGTTTAAAAGACACCGTTTTCTTCATACAAGCTTCCAAACCACAAATGCACTCAGTGAACTCAACTAAAACTGGATTCAGAAAGCCTAGAAAATAATATACTAACTTCGTATGAAATTATAAAAGTTTTTAGAACTGCTTGTTTTCACATAAATGAAATAAAAAAGTTGAACAGGGTTGATTGTAGAGCAGGCAAATGCACAGAATAAATGAATGTGGGTTTTTTTTTAATGACTGGTCCAGTGTTATCTGGTTTAGGAATTCATAGTTCTGTACAAAAATTTTGATCAAAGACCTTAGGAAACATGCAACTTCAACAGCAGTTGAGGGTGTCACTAGAAGACAGAATGTGAAGTTTCAGCTGCAATAGGCTTCTTTTGCTCCTATATCTGAAACAGCTGAGTTGACGACATTTTCTAACACACCCTCACCAAAGAGCTAACAAAAAAAGAGCTTCAGGTATATTACAACTAATCTCTCCATACAACTAAATGGCTATTATGATACACACCACCTTTCTAGCAGGTCAGCTAGAGTCTGTTATAAAGCACTATAATAAAGTCCCATTGACATAATTTCTCTGTGTTTGTACATCAGTTTCCTCCCACAACCCCATCAGACAGCTGTATCTGTAAATCACATGACAAAAGGAGGAGAATTCTACAATTATATACCTGCTACTGATAGATTAAAAGCAAGCACAAAGAACATGAATTATTCCTTCAAAAAGAATATTCATTGAGAGACCTGTACACTAGATATGGATTTGAAAAGACAGAATAATCAATAAATCGGAAACTATTAAGTCAGCATACAAAGAAGAGGTATGAGGACATCTCCTGATTTTCAAATGATCTGTACTTCTGAAGCAGTTAGATCACTAAATAAAATCCTAGGCACTACATACTGTACAAGTAATAGAAATCCATAACCCAGCAAACAAAACCAGAACTGAGACTTCATCTGATTTCTGACAACAGGAAAGAAAAAGGAGTAATCCGTGTTTGTGCAAATGATTCTTTTTTTCAAGATACATCAAAGCTGACACGTAGATCAGCTGAGAAGTGCTTGCACTGCAGCAACTGCTGCTATCTAATTGTCAGCCAGGCAACTAACAATGTTTTCTGTAACAAGAGATCAAGACCAACTCAAAGGAACTTTCCATAGAGACTACAGCAGATGTTTATTTTCTGTTTTTAGCACTGTATCTGCCAAAAATATTTTGAGATTAATTGGTTCTAGCAGTTGCACACAAAAAAGGATATACTTCCATATCAACTTAGTTCCCTTAAAACATACAGGGGAAGTACTTGGCACAGGCTGTGCATCAACCAACACCACACAACTGGCTCTTCAAGTGTCATAGCAAGGATCTATGAGTCTTCTACAAACACAAAGAGGTCCACTTTCAAACTGCCAAAGGCAATCAAAGTAATGCAATTTAAATAATACTCCTGCAAACCTAAAATCAACCTGTACTACAAACAGGTATTTTTCAATACTGAAGAATTCTTCTCATCCCCCTAGTCCAGAAGATAGTCTTGTTACTGGCCCCTTAAAATAGTAATTTTTAGAACTGAGTGGTAAAGTCGAAACTCGATGTCTTGCAGTGTGCCTGGAAGTTCTGTGTAGCTTAGGGGAAAGTATGCACTGCAGATCGTGCATTTTTGCTGCATTTTTTACTTCATATCAAAAATAGCTTATTTTTTAATACTTCAGTGTAACCAATATCAGCCATTTTAGTCTAAAAAAATTGCCACTGCCAGTATAAAGAGTTTTGAACTATTTGAATTTGTAGTCTGGACCAAGTATTAACTATGAATCAGCCTAAGCACCCTAACAGCAGTACTGTAGCTTCAGCAAGCCTTCAAAGAGGACAAAGTACAGGGAAATAACAGCCAAAATTAGCTCTTGTACTAGAGCATCAAAAACACACTGACTTTTTTCTAGGTAATTTTCTTATAGTATAGCTAGTACTACTCAAAACCCATAAAAATAAAATAACACTGGCAACATCTCAAGAAGCACTTTTCTCCATCTCAAGGCTACAAAGACTTTACAGAGACCTTCTACCTGCAGTTCATTATACACTTGATAATTTTTTTTTCCCTGTTAGGAAAAGAGAACCTGTTTGGGTCAAGCTAAATCAGAAGCATAGAAGGTCTTCAAACTCCAGAAGTGAATTTTAACTCAAGACAATTACTGTTACAATTAGCTCTTCAGGTTTAAGGTTTGCTGCAAGAGCCTATCAATCCATTCAGGGCAGCGTGAACTGGCCCGACCGCACATTTATTTTCCTCCAGCATCACAGCCCTCACAATCAGGATGAATCCTCTTACACACATTGCAAGCATCCATTCAGTGAAAGATTAGCATAATATTAAGGCCATCTGAAGTACAGAAATGAACAGCACTGAATGTTTTATTGTGCAGACATTTGGTTATGCGCAAGAGGGAACAACCCAGCCAAGACATCTGGCACAAATTACCATCATTACAATTTTTTGCACAATTTTAAGAACTCTGGTCAGCACCTGCATGTCGGCATGGAAGTCGCAATGCGTTTCCAGGGCCTACCCTTAAGGAAAGCCAGTCTGGTAAGACTGAAGAACCAAAATACCAATCTGCTTTGGCACAAAATTAAGCGGGCACAGAATACTCCACCTTCCTTATAAAGCTCAATATTACAAGGCTAAACATCCACATACTTTTTTTTTAAAAAAAAAAACAAAACCAGAAAGGACCTATTTAAAACAATATTCCTCCCTCGGTTCAGGAACCTAGTAGGACAGCCACATGATACCACTCTACCACTTGCGGCTGGCTATACCCCTTTTCCTGTCCTGGATCAGAGAAGCTGAAAACATGAATTAAGTCACATTCACGACTGTCCCGATTCACCTACCTGATATAGGGATCCCTCCCAGACCTGTGCTGTGTTGTGGTGGGAGATTCAAGTCCAAGAAATTACTATTTGAGGTGGGATTTGCTGTGTGGTTCAAGTGCATGATGCTATTGCGTGGGAAGGCCATCCAAGGATAGCGAGCTGCTTGGCCTGGAAAACTGAAGGAGTTGTAAACTGCTCGATGCTGTTGAAACTGTGGGAACCTCTGTGGCATGACTGGAAAGGTGCTACTGAGAGAGTTGGCATTTGCAGGTGCAGCAGGATGCAGGAATCCAGAGCCCGGCCCTTTGGCAGTTGTAGTGTGTGGGGTAGGGTTCTGAAGAGATGTGGGCGAGAGGGAAGGTTGGTCTTGGACTGACAGTTCCTTCTCAATCAGGTCTGCTAAGGCTTTGCGGGTGATGTCAAAGGGGTCAAACCCTAAGTCGTCCTCTTGCTGTTTGGAGGAACCAAACCCAAAAGCCGCTTGCCAGTCTGTGGAGGAGGACACTGGTATAGTTTCTGTTGAAGAGAAGAGGAACAGCCTTTAAAACAAGAATTACTAAGTACCTATCCATACAAAAATTTCAGCCTCAGCATATCTGAATCTACGTTGCCAGTTATCTTTCATACTACAGTTTATACATTCCCTAAAGACACCTTATTCATCAGCTTAGAATACCATTTTCAGATCAAACTGCAATCAATTTCTGCTTAAGGTGGACTGGTAGAACTAGCAAATAGTATTTTTACTGCAGCACTGCTCTATTCCCAAACTACAGAAAAGCCTTGTCAAATAAGTATTTTCAGTAACAGCACCAAGTAGAAAGAGACCAATGAACACTTGCTTAGAACCTTCTTTACACCCATACTATTTGATGGAAGTGTGACAAGCAGAGTTTAAATAAGGTTGTTATTCAGGCCAGTATTTTGATTTCAATAATAATGCTATGCTTCAGCTCTGCTGTGCACAGAAGGTGGGGAGGACAGGTAAACCTCTGAGCAATGGTTAAAAAAACCCTAAAACCAAAACACACCCCACTGTCTACCATTATAAACAAAAATAAGCCAAACTCTTGAGTAGACATCTTGATAAAACAAAAGGAAATAAGGACTGCATTACAAGGTAATGTTAAATATTTTGAGGCAGTGTTGTAAAAAAAGACTTATCAGAATTTCCCTGCATTTTCAATTACTACTTCATTTCATTATACTATTTAAGCTTCTTATTTGGGTTCAGCAAGTGCTAGGTTTAGTTTCACAGTGTTCTTCCTCAAAACTGTGGTAATGCAAGCTGATGAGTACAAAGTAGTATCACAACATTAACTCCCTCTGCTGGTAGGGAACCTGGTTTGCTGCTTTAAGTAGTTAGAATTAAGGTCAGTATCCTCTCTTAGAAGAGATCTACACTTCTATTTTCACTCTAAAATCCACAACGACAGAGTTCCTAGACAGATGAAAACTTGTCCTTTCTAATCTTATTTAAATACCAACCATACATTTTATATTAATTATGAAACAAACGAAATGTCTACTACCCGTAAATCTCTCACTGCTACTTAATCCTTACAAAATTGGTGCGTACAGTACCTTAGCAGCAGGCCATTTCCCTGGTAATAAATATTGTTTACAAACAGGATTAAGACATCCAGAAGTCAGATAAACATCAAAAAACAACTAATCTCTAAGTAAACTGTGTCCTAAAACATCATTTACATTTTATTTATTGCTGATATTGTTTTATTTAATTTTCTAACAACTCCCTCAGATTTACGATTTGTGAGCTCTTAAATATTGTTAACAATTCCCAAGGCTATATAAATAGACCTAAAACGATGTTTCATTCAAATGAAGTGGTATTTCATAGGAAAGTAGCTGGAAAATACATGTACCTTCCAGCTGACCCAATTAACCATATTTTTATCTTTTCTGAATGTATATTATCTCACTTCAGAAACAGAAGGATTAGGCACCTTCAGATAACTATGCAGGATACCAAAGAAAGTTCTGAATTTCACTCCACAGCTTCAGATGTTAGAATTACAGTTTATAACAGATTATTACACCAACATACTGACACCAGGTATTTTCCCCACTCTCAGTAAAAACTTGTAACATTAAATATTAAGCATACATGTCACACCCTATTAGATAGACATACAGCAAAGAAAAACTAAAATAAGCACTGATAGTTCAGCCATGAAGCTGGAAAATTATGTAAAGTTTCCTTTAGAAGAAACCCTTACATCAGTGCAATTCATTTGTAGTTAAGTGACAAATTTTAATCATTTGTGAAGGGGAAAAAACACAGTATGGAACAAGTCCTAGGGTTTTTGGTTCTACAGTTTTAGACGCCAGTTGCAAAAGCAAGCAATACCCAGCCACGTAACCTGTGCACACACCTGATGTGAAGAGGCTCTGTGGTTCTGGTGCTGTGGGCCAGTCATTTGAAGTCTGTGGAGAGCTGGGGAACGGAGGAAGCCCACTAGGGATGGGGTTAGGGTGCCGAAAGTTGTCAGAGAAGAGCGACTGGGATTCTGTTACAGCCCCTTCAAAAGGAGACCGTGCACTGTGATTAGATGAACTGATGGGTATTACTGGATTGGGTTTTGTTAAACCAGGCGGTGGTGAAGGTGTGTCACTGTTTGTTATCTACAGACAAGAGGAAGAGAAACAATTAGGATGTGAACGTTTATATATAAAATATTTTTCACTAATACAGTTGAAAAATTTCCTCAAACTTTTGGCTGCCATTAGGTCAATTAATATATAGCTCAGTACTAGGTCAAACTAAAAATCAACTTAGCAGTAGCATCTTTTAGTTTTGTTTAAAATTACTATAAACTTCAGACAGTACTTGCTTCTCCAACTACAAGTTGCACCAAGCCCTCAAACTCAATTATTACTTTCACAGCATTTATGTCTTACCTGCTGGGAGCTGTCACCATTTCCTATACTGAGGGAATCTGAAGGTTTGTCGATAGGGCTGCAAAAACAGGATGGGAAAAGAGACAATAAGACACTCAAGTCTTTAATGTGAAAAGCAACATTTTGTTTTGGAGCAGTAGAAAAGCCTTGAAATAAAGACAAAACAAAATAGAGGAATAAAGAAGGAAAAAAGTCCACTTATTATTTATGAGACTTTAAACATAAGCATTCCAATCATTTCCCATATACTGTAATACTTCTTCCCACCACTCTCCACTCTGCTTGTTGACTGCCCTGTTAAGGAACAAAAGGAAAGTTTTAACATGGTCATAGTAACTCTGTTATTCAAAAAAACAGGACTCTTGTACTATGGCAGTATTGCATAGTAGTCAGTTCCACCTAGCTACTACTGGAAAGAAACATAGGAACAGATTTGTTTTCCAAATATGTAAGTTGTCAGTACCCATACATAACCTAAATAAATCTGGGGAGAGACAAAAAATTAAATGAACTATTTAGTCCTGGTGATAAGTCAAGCTTCCCACTAGCCTTCAAGCTTTAACTAGCAGAAATTACTTCCAAGGTAAGAAAACTGAGTTTTGAGATGACAGAAGAGGAAAAACACAGGAAAAGACATAGCATTAAACCCTGTCAGATATGCAAAGAGAATAAAAGATAAGATACAGTAGAATATGACTTCAGAAAGCTATTCACTGGGAATTAACATGATTCAGCTGAAACGGTACATCTCAGGATTCAAGATTCTGACAGGCAGCTGTGAGTTGCCTTAATTATGCTAAGTATCACACTAATGAAACAGTATTAGTTCAAGATCAGATTAAAATCTCTGCTTTACAATTTTCAAAGTATTTCAATTTTTATCTGCCCATAAGAGAAGATGCACAAGAATCAGGCTGCACAGCCCAAAACACCAGTCCTATATACAAGGACCAGAAGAACATGAATTTCAGTTCCATCAAGAGGCTAGAATTTGATAGAAGTCAAATTACAGGCCTGATGTGTTAGCACAGGACAAATATATATATAGTAATAATTTTAACTGTGTGCAGACTACAGATTCTAAATACACCTTGTTTTCAAACACCCCTTGCTGCTGCACAGTTTAAGTATTGCATAGAGCCACATACCAAGGTCAAAAATTCTAAGATTGCTTCCCCCCGTATTTTTTCTCCCCATCCCAGAATAACTAGAGTTGAAGCTCAGCAGAATTAGTTGTTCTCCATTTTAAAGAAACTGTATAAGAGTAATGTCAATAAAAACAACTTCTGTGCACAAGAACACCGATTGAGTCAGTATCTCAAAAAGATAACTGAAGCTCAAGTATTTATGATTACAGAAGAAAAAAAATCAGAAGAATATACTTGCAAACAAGCATTACTCCAGTGAAGATTTACAAATACCTTCCACTCAGTGGTCAAATAGCATGAATAAAGTTCTTCCATTTAGAACAAACCATCTCGGGTTAGTAATTTATGAACACTTATAGCGCAAGAGTCTGTTGTAGACTCCTCATTACACAATTATTCTAATTGTAGCGCTGATATTCCAGACAAATTCTTTTCCCAAAGCTGCTGACAGAAAGTCACAATGATGCAGTTTAAAAAGCTATGTGTAAGACAACTTTTGATGACAATCTACGTGTTGAAAATGTTTATTATACTTCAACCTGCCTAAGGAGCTTTTAATTGCAAGACAGGCTTCCAGCCCTTAGGAATGAACAAGGCTCATTATCTACTGGCTACAATTTTTTTACATATATTCAGTATATTCTTTTCAGAAAAGATAAGAAGGAAGCTGCATGTCACTACTGAGATGCAACCACAGGATCTCTGATCACACCTCAACAGGACTGCTATTAAGTCTGACAAGAAGGTACCACACTCAACAGCACTCACAATGTTAATGCATCGGTTCAATATTGATTTAGAACAAAGATAAGATCAGCTACCTAATCAGCAACACCACTTCTTGCAATATTAGAGTTTACCTTGTTATTTTCCCATACAACTTTTGAATGAGCCCCAATTATATTACCTAAGAGGGTCCGTAAAAAAAAAAAAAAACCAAAACAGCATGACTATGGACTACATCAGAACTGCAAGTGATGTTAATCATGGAAGGGGACACCAGATCCATTCAAGGAGAGCACCAAAACAGGGAAAAATGCTGGTTAGCAATAAGGAAGTTATTGCAAGCAGATTAATTATTTCCTCTGCATAAAGAAGCTTCAGTTGAATCTGCTGCCCTGTTGTTCCTGTTACTGAGTGATAATCGTGGAACTGCTACCTCTGCAGTTGTGTTTCTGGAACACATCACTGTAAAAAAATGACAGATATCCAGCCCTACCATTTAGCTTCCTTCTGATGCAGCTTTTCCAAGTGACAAGCCTCCTGGTGTATAGCAACTAGCATGTTACTTTTGTGGAAGCTTCTGTATAGAAATGAAGGGCTCAGCTCTGGCTGGGACCATGCAGCTATATAAGCTTTTGATCCCCTGGTTATTCAGTTCCCCTCAGCCCTTACTTGTACCATCACTTACTAACTTCACATTAGGGTACTGCTGCACAGTCTGCCAATCAGTCTTTTTGACACGGGCTAGGCTAAGCCCAGCTTTTTATGACCTGATCAGGATTTGAATCCAGCTCTCCAAACAGAAGGAGAGACTGGAGAATCATTCCCTCCACACCAATCAGTGAGAGAGAAAGCAAGCTATCTGAAGTATAAAAGGCAGCACAATTACCCGAAATCTGAGTCTGCACCATCTGGAGTCATGTGTTCTGGGTCTGTGCCATTTTCTAATATAGGAGGCGTTTTCCTGTGTTCCATTGTTAAACCGTTGGCTGATTTACTTGAACTCTGTAATGATGGCCAGGCATCTTTGTTATTACTGTTGGGTCTGGAAAAAGGCAAGAGTAAAAAAAAAAATAAAAAAAAATAGTTCAAGTTATGAAGAAAGTGTTTCTAAAAATTGTAAGCACTGGGGAAATGAACCCTTGTGCCAGACAATCCATAAGAACAGATTTATCTGGATATTATTTTTCAGATTTTAAATGGTGATGACCTAAAAAAAAAAATTTAGAATTTGTGGAGCAGGGAGGCGAGAGAGAAAATTCTGGTTTTTTTGTTTTGTTTTGTTTTTTTCACTGAATAGATAGCTGCTCTGCCAATGCTGAAGCCCAAACTTGTCCATTTGAGGGAGAGAAAAAAAACAAAACCAAAAACCCCCAACAAAAATTCATCAACTACTTCAAGTATCCAGACCTACACACACATCTCATTTAGAATTATTTGCTTTATCCTGTAAGTATTTGTAAGTTCTGTAAATCATTAACTAAATCACTGGGGTTTTTAAAAAATATTTTATATTCCAGGCCCTATGAAGCCTGGTCCAAACAGATTAAGTTGTTTTATGCCTACACAAGAGTCCACAGCTTTACTAAGAGACCATGAGACCAGTCAGACCACCACACTGTTCATTCAGGTTACTGCTCCTTCATTTCTAAAGTCACGGTTACATTAAATTTCATCTCAGAGTGCACATGGTATCTGAAAGAAGTTCAACAGAGGAGTCAAAGCCCATTTTTTTTGCTGAAAACAGTTACACTTTATACAAAATGAAGCAAGCTGGAATCTACAGCTGAATGCATTCAAATATAGTGTAATCCGCTAACTCTACAGATTTGCCTTTGTGTTCTCCAGTTCTTTTGTATTAACTTTAGCTTTCCATTTGCCTCAATTAGGATGCTGGTTTTAGCATCCAAGTGCTGTCTTTGTAAGGAACAAGTTTTCAAAAACTTTTTAAGGATACCTGTGTTCCTCCTGATGCTCCCCCTTCATTAATATGTTCTTATTAATGGGTCCAACATTTACGCTACATCTCTAGGTCAATTTAGTAAGTTCACATTCAGAATCCAGAAACTCCTATAGCTGCTTATAGCAACACAAGTGTTTCCTACTGCTATTCAGATAAAAGTGGTATTAGTAGCTACCCTCAAATCTCAGTGTTGTAAGAGTTGCTATTTTACATCCATCTTTTCTCATATACCTATGCAATATGTACATAGATGAAAGCCTTGACCTGATTTACAGATTTCATCTTTGCTTTGTACGCATCTGAAATAAGTTGAGACAGCAAGTTGATCAGATATTGAACATCAAGGAATGAAGACACATCAGTGTAATGTCAGTTATTTAGTATTCTCACCCTTACAAAAATGAGCTGTAATCTAGATATAACAAGACTTTCAATCCATTAACAGTTTTGTATTAAATATCAAAATTTATGTCCACTGCAGTGCAAAGCCATCTCTATACTAAAACTAACTTTAAAATGTCACAGATGAAAGTCAGTTTTGCATCTAAAGAGAAAGGTAAAGGCAAAGGAACTGTTTTATTTTTGGGGGTGGGCTTTTGTGTATGTGGGGTTTCTTGGTTTGGGTAAGTTCCAACCAGCATTCCTCTAAAGTGCTGTTCTCTAAAAGACAGCAAGTGCTTAACAAGTAGTATAAGAAAGTATTCATTTCAGTTCTTTAGGAAAAGGTCAACAAGAAAAAAAGAAAAAAGTTTGTGTGGAATATACCTCTAATTGTAAGAGAATACAGTCACCATGGCTATGAAGTGACACACCAAGAGATGAGTACCCATATAGAAAGTGGTACTGGGAGATTTTAACATTTGCTTTCAAGATAAAAGGTCTGAGAGTAGCATCTTTCAAATGAGAACACAAGTGTGAAAAAATATTTATGCATAGTTTAAGAAACTCTTTTCTACTACTGGATATTTAAACATCTACTATTAATAACTCAACTTCTGTTCAATTTCAGAGCAAAACAGAAATCCTGCACCCCAGAAACACAAGAACCACCATAAAATTGTCAGTCTCTGACAAACTGCCAGAATTATTAATATCATAACAATGAATCAGACAAAAATGAGAACCCGATTGGACAGAAAGCTGTGAAGGAGAACAACACACATTCACCAGCTCACAAATTACATTCTGTAAATTTCAAACTCCCAGCTGCAAGAAGAAATTCACTTTGCAACCCAAAAGGTGGTTCCTAGCCTTTAGCAAAGAACAGTGTATGTGTTGTGATTATGCTGTTCAGGTGACAAGAGAAATTAACTCCAGACCACTTGTTGCCTTTAGAGTAACATGCCATCTTTTCCTCAAGTGCCAAGATGTTAGCACCACACACTGGCCAAGCTCCAATTCGTAATTTCTTTCTGAAGGCTTAGAAGTTTGCTGCAGTTTCAGATAGAGCATTCTTTCCTCACTGGTATCATTTGTTTTGCTGACATCTAATTAGGTTTCAAATTAAGATTAGTTCGGACTTTGAACATAAAATAATCAATACCCAAACACAGGAAGTGGTGAATTTGCTTTACTTGCTGCACTCTTCCTTCAAAGTCAATATTGAACCAGTGCCCAAGAAATGAGAAGTGGCACAGTTCTTATGAAAACATCCAACTGGAGGTCCTGCCCACTTGCAGTCAGAGTAAATGACACTTCCTCCAGAAGTTAAAGAAAATAATCCCAGTACACCAGCTGGGATATCAGTTGTCAGAACTATATTCTGCTTATTCAAGCTCCATTGGCAATATTTTAGATACAGTACCCACTTTCTTACTTCAGCTGTTGTGCAGTGATGCTGCCAGTGGCAAATTGTCTGAAAAATTCAGTAGTGGGTAAATCGGCACACAACATAAACCCTGATTACAAGGCCAAGGTGCATACAACATTCAACCTAACTTCTAAATTCCACTCTGCCCATCTCATTATGAAAATCCTACAAAATGGAGTAAAAGAAATTGTTAACAGTTTTAATTTATCTTAAATAAGACATCTGAGCAGATAATTCACATAAGGACTGATGATCTTAGGCTTTCATTTATCTTTGTATGACTATGTACTCATAGGGACAGAAATCTTTTCATAACTTACTGAACAAACTGCTTCAACAGAATATTCTTTTAACAAGCAGTGATATCTGCAATTACAACATAACGAAAAATATTTCATTTAAGTTCGCTAGTTGAAAGCAAGAAATCCTTTATTCACATCTTGGGAATTCGTACTCACACAAAAGAAACAAACTGATTTTACTTTCAATTTTCAAGGCTCTTAGACCTAATGTAAGGACTGCACAAGAAATCATTATATAAAACACAAAATAAAAGACACATCGAGACTATAAGGTATCTCAGTTGTGAGAGTACAGACTGCATTTATGGTGCCACCATACCAAGAAAACAGACATCTGGTCTTTAATAAATATTATGCGTTTATGCACATATAAAATACAAGGACTTCTTTCAGAATAAGAATACTTCATTCTGAACTTGTGATCCAAATACACACAGCAGAAAAAACATTTCTTTACTAAGTAAGAATCAGGCTCAGTTTGTATTATAACAAAGTGGTGCCTATGTCTCTTCACGGAAAAAACTTGTATCAGAGTTTGTCATATAATAGTCACTAAAAAGAGCAGGTAAGTTAGAGGATGCAATAGGAGTAGGAAAGTTTTCTTTGGGAATAACCAGAAAGAAAGCACAGCCAGGCAGTCCAGCATCAGTACTTACGCAGCATACCTCTGCAGTGCTGTCACTTTGTTCTTGTTCTTGTCAACTGTACCCGTAGATAATTGGAGAAAGTTGGGGTTTAGTTTGTATAATTCTTGCAGTAGTTTCTGTTCATATTCCTGGTGCTTACCCGCCTAAGGAAAGAGAAACTCACAATGAATAATACTAGTTTAATATACATTTTTATATATAAGTGTACAAATGTACATCCTAAAGCTTAGTAATTGAGCTTTAACAACTTAACAGGTCACTCCTGACTGAAACTTGAAACAGTGCTTCTCAGGCTCAGCACAGAAACAATCTCAACCTAAAGCTTGCCTAGAAATCACTTGGATGTATTTACCAATTTATAATTTTTTTGGAGACTTCTAAAGCAGAAAAAGTTACAACCTTATTAGAACTTGATCTTCAGTTCTAATCAAGAGCTTAACAATATACCTTCTAAATCACAAAAAGCTAAGTCTCCAAGGCAGTCTGCATCTGATGTATCAACCATGCTAAGCTTTTCAGAAGATGGGAAGGATTACAGAGTGTCTCTCTCTTAAACAAAAAGCTACAAAATAGAAGTAATTTTATATTGGCTTAATAACAATAGCTGAGGTGGTCTGAGTGTTAACTATCATGTGACAAGGAGTATATTCTGAGCAATAATAAATCATTCTTTTTAATAAATGAAAAATTGAAATATTCTTTTAATTAAAGGAGTTGAGAACAATTTTCTGCTTTCAGAAATTGAGGAGGCCCAATCCAACTACAGAATATTGAATCTGGAGTGTGAAGTAAGAGAGTATTTTTCAGTCTAGCTCATCTATAACATTCTGTGGCTAAATAATTACAATAAAACCAGCAAGATCACCCCCCCAACGACATTTAAAGTGACACATGAAACAAATTCAACATGAACATTCACATTTTTTTGTAGGCTCCAACCTAAGAACTACTATTTGCAAGTTAAGTACTGTAATGAGTTCAAATCAAGATGCAATAGAACAGTGAACTTCAAGTTGTCAATAGCTTTTGTCTACCTTTTCCAGATACTAAGAGATGTACTTTCGCAATGCAAACAAGTGCCAGGATTTATGGTCAGGCCTTCTGAATCTTAAGACTGGAACATGTGTTACTATCTATCACATTTCCAGTATTGATTCCAAAGCTCTCACGCTACTTTTAAACCTAAAAATTAACATCTGTACATTACTTAATTCATTCCCCTTATAAATGTTTTGTTGGAACAGAAATTGAATCGATGCACAGGCAATGCTGACATCCTCCTAGAAAAATATTACAACTTAAAAGAAAACTATTACTTGCTTTTTAAAAATATACGCAGAAATCTTTGTCAAAAGTTAAAATCAGTACTGCTGAGAAACTAAATTCCCTTATGGGCTTCTTTAGAAAGGCACCTGCATATTTCATTTGAATACTCCAAGTCAGTCAAACACTATAAAGATCTCCAGTTTTTTGCTACTTAATTCTCCAGTTCTCCACTATTGTTTGATTCTGAATGTGTCTTTCTCTATGTAGTCAACCTACAGAACCTTCAAAAGAAGACACTGAAACATCTGGTGCATGCATCATCCTACCCATCTTTGACAATGTTTACACCTAATACACACCTACCATAGAAAAAAGTGTGGTTCTAGAGTGTGGTTCACCTAAATGCAAACTTTGAGATATACTGCACCTTGGAAATGCTTCTTTCACCATCCACTCTGAATAGAATACAAGCAACTAGCTCAGATACACAGATCTGCACTGCAAACATTAAGCAGATGAGTAAGAAGAAACCTCCCTTGATATCTCATCTTGCTGAAGACTTCAGTGGCAAAAGACTGAACATCCCGGCCAGGAACATCAGGCCAGTCCTAAGCTTGCTTACCTATCACATCAATGTAAGAAAGAAACATGATTAAAATCCTATATAGGAGCTTGCAGTAATCATGCATTATTTATAACACACAATTCAGAGGCCAAACTTAGCATCTCCAAGCTACCTAAATTCCAAACTTCACTTTCAGAGACTTCCTGGAGTTCTACAAGTTCCTTTCAGTTTGTCACAAGGTTTAGCTCTATTTACAATTATTGAATCTAGAACACAAGTTCATTCTTGGACAATTTTTTCTTAAAAACAGAGAATCAAAGTCTGTGACAATGAACATTCAGTCTCATTAAATGAACCTGTAACCACACTGACACTAACCCAAACTCCAGAAAACTGTGCACTGAAAGCACAGTGTACTTTTCAACAGTTGTGTGATTTCCAATGATTTCCAATAAAGCAACATGAAATAAAGAAGAAAGTTTAAGGAATGTAACAAGGAACAAGAAAGGAAGACTAATTTATGTCATCAAGTATAATCCACTCAAGACTTCTGAAGGAACTCATGTGAAACTGAATTCCTGGCCAAGGTATGTAGTCTATAATTTTTGAGTGGCTATTAAGCCAGAGGACTGACAGATTGTCAGTGTCTTCTACAAAAAGGGCTGTAGAAAAGATCCTGTGAACTACAGACTGCTAAATTCAACCTCCATCCCTCCTAAAGTTATAAATTCTGTCTTAAAAAAAAAGTTGTTCATGGATAAGCATAATCTGCTGGGAATGAATCTGAACATATTCTGTGAAGAGGAATCCTACTTAACACTATCATAAAACTCCATCTTGTTAGTGAACAAGCACAAATAAGGAAGATCCACAAAGTTTTCAAAAAAGCCTTTGGTAAGGTTTCACAATAGAAGTTATTTACGAAACTGCCCTGGGACAGAGAGAAGGTTCTTGTGTGGATTGAAGCTGATGCAAAGATAGAAAGGCAAAGGTAAGACTTACTGGTCACTCTTTTACGGTGCAGAAGCAAGAGATGAGGACTGATGACTGGCATCAGTTTTATGCAACACTATCAGAGTGCATGGGAAAGGAGCAAAGAGCAAGTTCTTTGCTGATAATACCAAGATCTTTGAGTAGTAAACTGCCATGCTGATAATGAGGAACTCCAAAAGAACCCCAGAGAACTTAAACAGGCAAAAAGGTGGCAAATAAGCTTCACCAGAGACATGTCAAGTAACACATGACACGAAAAGTAGCCTAAACCATACTAACACTCTATTGATCTGTGAACTGGCTGTTACAACTCAGAAGAGATACTGCAGTTACTGCCAACAGATTTCTGAAATTGTTAGTTGACTACACGCTGGCAAACACAAAAAATGTGCTGGGCATCATTAGGAAGGGTGCTTAAAAACAAAACAAAAAACAACTTCACACCACACTACACGCAAAACATTGAGGACTGCTATGTTAAACTTTGCTTGACCCACATAATGAGTATGATGTGTCTGACCTCTGCATCTCAGGGAGGACACAGAAGGTACAGAGAAGGGCAACAGAAATAATCACAGAAACAGAGGAACTGCTTTACAAATAAGTTTAAAAGCCCAGGAACTGTGACTTGGAGAAAAGGTTGAGAGAGATAAGATCAAGTTTTACAACACCACAAAGGCACTGGTTAAGGTGAATAAGGGTTTTGCTTTCAGCAAGTACTGCAACGCTAAGATGAGGGGACAGTTGACTAACTGGAGATCAGTTTAACACAGGCAAAAGAAAGCACTTCACAAAACAGGTGGTGAACTTCTGGGGCTTGCTGTCACAAAAGACTATAGGGTTGACAGTATCAGCAGGTTCAAAATGGATTAAATAAATTAATGGCTGACAGCTCTATAAAAAACTAAAAAGACTAAGGCAGGAACATACCCTCAAACACGTATAATGTAACAGATCTAGGTGGCGGGAGAAATACAGGGAGATGAACGGGGGAAGTGGCCTGGTTTGCAAGTTCTTGAATTTTACCTCCTATTGCCATTATCTGTAACAATATATACTACAGGGACTATTCACCTAAACCAGCAGGATACTACTATAATTTATCGAAATGTAGCTGAAATACTCAGAAATAACTGCTAATTTGTAGAAAAAACTGTTTAATAGACAGGGACATTTTCCATACTCTCTGGCTTACAGCAGACTAACACATGAAATAAAATCTACGTGTACTACATTTGTGCTAGCGCTAGAGATGCAGACCACCTGTCTCAGACAGACCACAGACAAAAATTACAGCATGACTGCAAGACTGGCATACTTGAGATTGAATTTAAAAGCTTCACCATACCACATGTAGAGGGACAGACCCAGATCCAAAAAGACCTCTAAATACACCACCTTTGAGAAAGTAAAGCTATCC